CGCACGCCACACCGTGCTGTGGCGTCCCCCTGGAAGGGTGTGTCCATCACCCCCCCCCCGGCTCTGGGCCCCCGACCGCCGGCCCCCCTGCCCCCGTCCCCCGCCTCCCTCCCCGCCCGTCCGTCCAGAGGACTCAGCTTGGAAACCATCGGTGGGCCTGCTAGGCTGCAGCGGCGGCCGCGGCCGCGGCCGTGGCGGCGAAGGTGGCCGGGGGAACTCGATCCGTAGGTCTGCGCGTGTATAGAGCTCTCCCTCTGCGAGCAGGGCGCCGGGTCTCCTCCCCGGGCGGGGAGGTTCGTAGAGGCGGAGAGACGCAGGCACCTGTCTGGCCGGCCCGCGCTCTCGGCTCCGTCCATTGCGGCGCCCGTGAGACCGGCCTGGCCCCCGTTCCCCCCCCCCCCCTGCCCCCGGCAAAGAATGGCCTGGCGTCCGCCGGTGCCAGTTCACGCCGGCTCCCTCGGGGGCGTCGTGGTCCGAACAGATCGCCTCCACGCCGGTTGCAGCTTGCCTGGGCGTCCCCCCGGGCTGGGGCATCCCGCTGATCAGTCGGTCGGCCAGGGGAGGTCGGGGGGGGGGGGGGGGGCGAGGGGGCGGGGTCGACCAGGGGAAGGCACCACCATGCATAATAGACGCATGTGTGCGCGCCCCCACCCAGGAGAGAGGGAGAAAGGCAGACAGATAGAGAGACCAAGGGGGCGACAAAGGCAGGGACACAGAAAGGCAGCGAGGGCTTGAGAGACGGAGAGGGAGAAAGACAGAGCGAGAGAGCGAGCGAGGGGGCGCGCGAGGGCGGACAGACACCCGGGCGACCAAGCGCCCCGGCGGCCTCCGGGCGACAAACGCGCATGAGAGAGCGCGCCCGCGGCCCCCTGGGCCGAGTCCGACAAGCTGATTCGGGCCCCGAAAGGCGGCTGCCAGCCCGTTGTCCGCCCTCACCACCACGCTGCGGGGCTGATTGCCCTGCCCCTGTGAGGCTCATTTAGGCCTTCCTGCAAACCAGCCCCACCCGACTGCAAGGGCCGATGTTGGCCCCCAACCCGGGGGGGGGGGGGGGGGGGCAGGTCCGGCACACGGGCTGATGCGAGCGGAACATGCGCCCCAGGACCATATTACCCACCTGCTCGCATATATTGAGAACTCACCATGGGGGATTTCGCGCGCGCGCCCGCGCGCGTCCGGGCCACGGGCCAGATAGCCCCCCTCCCCGGGGGAGAAGAGGGGGCGCGAGGAACACCATCGCGCAGGAAATGCTCATGCGCACGCACGCACGCACGCACGCACGCACGCACGCACGCCGGCCCGTCCGAGAGCAAGAGAGAGAGAAAGAGGGTGAGGGAGAGACAGAAATAAGGGGGGGCCGGGGCAAGCACAGGCACAGGAACCGAAGGAAGCAAGCAGGCACCCCTCCATGGCTCCCAGGAAAGCCCCTCGCCGTCGACGAGATGGCAGCCATGTGCCGCAAATCCCGCCCCCTCCCCAGCGAGAGAGTGGGAGGGCGCCAGAGAGGACCGGGGGCGTGGGGGACGCGCCAGCCGCGCGGGCCGAAACGCGACACCCCACGGAGGGCGAGGAGGTTGTCGGTGTGCCCAGGCGCCCACGGCGCCCGGGCCCACCATGCATCTGCCAGGGTCCCCCGGGCGGCGCGGCCCCCGGGGCGGCGGGTGCGGCGCGGACCTCCGTCGTTTCTGCTGGCCGCTGACGGCCGGACCCGAGCCGGCGGGGGGCAACAGGCGCCGAGCGCCGGGGGCGCCAGGCAAACAACAGTGGGCAATTCTCCCATCCCTCGTGCGAAGGAATGCGCAGCCCCGGCCACGGGCGAGCGCCCTCGCCCGCCACGCAAAAGACCCCCCCACCCCTTCTCTTCTCGTGCCGCGGAGGCACGAGAGCGCGCCCCCCGCCCCCCGCCCCCCGCCCCCCCAACCGTGTCCCGGGCGCCGCCGTGCCTCCGACCGGCCGAGTGAGAAAGACCAGCCCGCGACCGCCCCCCACAATAGCGGTGGGCCTACGCCGGGATATGACTGTTTGGCCGCGCCGCGCCCGGAGGGCCTCGCCTATGTTTGTGGGGCATTATTTCCGGCCAAGCTTCCGCCGGGCTGCACCGTGACACGGCCGCGACTTCCGTATGGGAGGGCGGGGGGGCAGGGGGGCCGGTCGCGCGCGCGCGCGCGCGCCTAGAAGACCCTGGGGGCGCCGGTGGCCAGTCTGTCCGGGGTGCGGCCCCCCCGCCCCCCCCTTCCCCGTCCTGCGTCCTCCCCGGTGACGAGGCGAAGGCGGGCAAGCTGGCTCCCGCCTTCCTTGACAATCCGCCCGGGGTCTGGGTTCCGACAGACGGGCACCAGCCTCTCTCTCTTGGTCGGCACGTCGCTCCAATGCCCTCTGGCTCTCTTTCTCTCTCTCTCTCTCCCTCTCCATGATCCACGGCCAGCCCCCAGCATCCTCGGAGGAGGGAGTCGGGGGGGGGGGGGGGGGGGGGGGGCACAACTCGCAGACAGCCCGGCCACGCACCTGCAGAGGCGCTGCCCGGCAGGACCGCCAGCCCGCCGGAAAGACGAAGCCCGCCGGCGTGCCCTTTCAGAAGCCCAGGCGGCTCCAAGCCCCAGGGGGATGGCCCCCCGAACCCCGAGGGGCGACGCGGGGCTCTCAGCGTGCGGGAGCTACTCAGGAATTCGCGCGCCCCGGGCCGTGAAGTGCTCCGCCGCGGCCGACAGGCGCGCCGTGAACACCCGAGCGGGTCCCCCCGCGACGCGCCGGTAGCGCAATCTCGACCAGCACCACGACCAACACCAGAGACAGCCAAGCACCC